TATACTGTAATTATACCAAATTCGAATCTTTCTGGGTTTATATCTACTGCTATTATCTTGGTTGCTCCACATAGCCTTGCCCCCTCGGCCACCTTAATTGACGCCCGGAAACAGCAAACACATGTGTCATTGTTCAATAGCTCCAATGCCGAATATACCAAAAAAGCACACAAATTTAGCATAGCATGAAACAATGTTGTACTCCCAGTCCAATAGCTCCAATGCCGAATATAGTAACTGTTGATCCAGGTTGACATTGGTAGCTCGCCAAGCAGCACCTATCCCTAGAACGCACGACATCAATCAAGCTAAACCAGTTTAGAATAATCTGATTTTTAAAAATGTATCAGTGACATGTATAGTATCATACTTCACAAAAATTAGTCTATTCTTCATATGCTATAGTGTTATACAAGTAGTAAAAAATTTCAAACTTGACATCTTATATATGCCACACAACACGTGTCGTTATACACACACACATATATAAGTAGGTAATTAAGAATACGGAATAAGAATAGAAGATATTACCAGTGGAAACCCCACAGCTTAGAAGACATGCCCTATTGGGAGGAATGGATGGGTCAATCTTAGTAAGATGAGTAACGTCGACAACAGTATATTGGCTAAAGCTTGAAACGGACAAGAAATGAAACAGAGTTTCCCCCTTCAAGTCAGTGAATCTGCTGCTATCTTCCCTAGGCATCCACGGGGAGATCTTGAATGGCAGCTTCGAACACAAATTGCTCTCGCTGGACTTGCAATCATTGCAATCACCACAGTCTGCTATGAAAACTGGTAGCACATAATCACCTTCCAGCACTTCATCTACTTCCTCTCCTACACTTTCTACGATCCTACAGGCGATTAGTTAGTTAGTCCTTGTTGCGTGCTACATAAACATATTCACCATTCACCATGATAAGTGACAATTTCGTGCCAGCAAATGGCAGTAATTTTACTTATCAAATTTTCAGTGTATGATCTGTTTCCATATTTTTTACTTCATTCTTTATTCCTACATTCTTTCTTTTACTTTCTTCGTATAAAAGATTATGTTATTTGTACATAACAACAATAAACTACCAAAATGTAAGCTAAAAAGATCAGAATACATGTCATTGATTAGTAGTCCAATCGATGTTTTGTGCTGGACTAAACCACGCACACACACACAATCTCAAATATTAATCCGCCTATGTCATCTACGAGTATGTGTCATGTCTCATGTGTACAAGCATAATATCATTAACCGAAGATATAATATTAGCATAAAAAAAGGTTAATTATCAGCCATTGACATATAAGTGAGAATTGATCCAAAAAATAAATTAAGGAAAAAAATACAAAAAACAAAGTTATAGCTACAAGTTGTTACCCAACAGCCTCATGGCCAAAGATTCTTGGATAGCATCCAGGAAAATCCTCTAAAAGAAAACACAACAAAATTAGCTTAGATCAAAGTAAGGTAGTCTAGTCACTCTTAAGGCATGCTTGGATTGGAGGTAATATATTAAGGGGGTAATAAAAGTCAAACTTGAAAAAACATAAGTAATTAGAAGTGTTGTTGTAGGAGACAAGATGTTTACAAATGAAATAAGATAGTTGTGTCATGAGGAAAAAAAAGAGATGGAGGAATTATTATCCTCATAATGAGTTACCCACCCTCCCCCTAGTGTAACTATTACCCTAAAATGAGGGTATTAGTTCCTCTTTCTTCACATCATATCACACCATCAACACATAATTTTCCTTACAATCACACCATCACTATCTTCTCCTTCCCTATATTCACTTTCATTTTGCTTAGCTTGAATTTTATTATCCTACTAATACATCTCCCTCAATCCAAGCATGCCCTTAATGGCAGGCCAAATCGGATCTTAATTAGCCACAATATTTATCCATTATTTTTCATATATTGGTATCCTAATTAAAAAGAATCATCCCAACCCTTAAAAATGTCCCTACTAGCTATGAAAATTGCTCAATCTGTCACATTAATTATTTCTAATGGTTTTCATTTATATTTCCATCTCTTACATTTCCAAAAAATATTTTATTCTTTTACCTAAAATTATATGTCCAAGGTATGGAGCACTTAAAAAAAGAAGGTATTTTCATCATAAAACCCCAAGTTTTTTATTCACCACAGACCCTTGAACTTTTTCAAATACACCATATACCCCCAAGTTCTACCAAAGAAGCACTGTATACCCTTAGTGACATGCAGATATTAGCTCAGTTAATCTTTAGGGTTAATTATGCCCCGAAATTACCCTAGATCTCTTCTCCCACACCTGAAACCAACTATCCTCTCTTCCCTTACCCTCGAAATCACCCTAGATATCTTTTTCCCACCCCCAAAACCAATCAGTCAGACATGGTTATGAAGATTTGAGGTGGTTTCAAGGGTTGGGCAAGGGAGGAGAGTGGTTTTGGTGATAGGGGAGGGATTTGGGGTAGTTTAGTGGCATAATTAACCAAACTCCACTCATCTTGTAGTCATTAAGCGTATATGGTGCATAATTGTAAAAACTCATGTTTATATGATGTATTTAAAAAAGTTCAGTAGTATATGATAAATGATAAATAAATGGAAAATTTAGAAGTATATGGTGAAAAAACCGTAAGAAAAACAGAGGGAGTACTGAAATATATATATATGAAATGTTGCACTATAAAACTCGTAAAACACTCATAAAATGAACTCATGGTGCAAATAAAAGGTGATAGAGCGAGTATAATGTAAAGCATATTGAATAAAGCTTGCATTTACAAACAAAAAATTCAAAAAAAGTAATGATAATTGATGGGAAGTGTACTTACTTTTAATTTCCAGAAGGTGATGTCGCTATAACAGAGTGAAGTGCAAATGATCTTGATCCGAACTTCATGAGCTTTTGGTGGAGCCATTATCACCTCCTCTATCACCAGTGGTTGTCCCGCTTCTCTAGCAATAGCAGCTGCATCATTTCAATTGTATAGACACTGGCCCATAAGGTACATGCGTTCTAACCATAATAACTAATCACGTTTATACTTTATAGTATACCTTATATGACAATTAAATTTAAACATAGGAGGTGTATTATTTTTACGGCAAGGTGAAAGACCCTAAACATGCTTTAACCCTCACGGTGATGCTGAAAGTCGAGGTAAGACGATACATAAATTAAATACCATACCTTTGCAATGAAGAGGCTTTCCTGCGGTGATGCCTTTGGAGGGTTTCACATCTGCCATTTGCTATGTTATCAGTAATCAACTAATAATTCACACTTAGTGGAATTTGGTATTACAATGAGAAGATAGATAAAATTTTGGTTCTACTTTCAATAAGAAAATTCTAAAGTGGAAATTTTGGTTCTACTTTTGAATAAGAAAATTCCAAAGTCTAATGTCACATGTTCAATATATACTGACTTACTGACCTATATGCACAAGTAGTGCACAAGTAGCTAAAATGAGAAAATGACTCTCAAGACATTCTAGAACTCCCAGGAAAGAAATTCCAATAATTAGTTGTTGTCTTGTTGATTGCCAAACTACTTTCGTTGAAAGATTTAAAACAAAACACACACCCCTCCCCCACCCCACCCCACCCCACCCCACATCTTATATGTTCTGCTACCCCTGTTACTTTTTAATTGTAATAAATGGGTATTATTTTTTAGAGATAAAAAATTTCTTTGTTGCAAATTAATAAAAATTAACGGAGGTAGTTTTTAAGACAAAAAATTAATTTACAAAAATAAAAAGACTTAAATGCCAATGATGACCTTGTCCTCGGTCGGTGGTGGCTTGTTGGAGGAGAGAATGTTAGATTGATTTAGAGGAAAGAAAAACATGGAATACAAGCGAGGATATGTTCATCCATTCATGTTTAAATGCGAGCATTACATGATAAAATGTGAGTGTCATTTATTAGTTTTCCCAAAAAAAAAATATCATTTCTCTGAAAATGCTTATTCTAAAATCAATACTTCTTCCTCCATTACTTTATTTTACTTGCAATACTTTGACTTTTACATTATTTATCTAATTCATTTTTTACTAGCTTTGAAGATTTACAATTACTGAAAAATATAATCATGCAAGACATTGTTAGATTCATCTCGATTTATATTTTCATACTCCCTCCGTTTCTTAATAATCGCAATAGTAAGTCTTACACAAAGTTTTAGGAAATAAATAGGGTACTCAGTGAAGCTCGAGACATGCAAATAATGGTATAAGAATTCTCCCTTAGAGTCTATAAATCTGCTAACTTAGTTTCATCTCTTGGCATCATAGACGATAACTTAATTAAATGGCAGCGTCGTACAGAAATTGCTCTTCTTTGATTTACAGTCAGTACATTCTCCACAATTTGCCAAAAATACAGGCATAACAAAATCTCCTTCAGCAAATTCTTCGACATCCTCACCGATATGCTCTCCAGAATCCTATCATAGAGTGGTTTGTACAGGTGCCTGTACGCATCGTACATGCATTTCGCGGAAAGAACATATTATACAAATGTAAAAAACATACAGCTGTAGTGAAAAGAATATACTATTAAAATGTAATTAATGAACATATACCTAAAGTAAAAAAAACATATTTGCACCAAAAATGAGTGAATAGAACATCATGTCCATGTTTTTTGATTGTCAATGTAATGTACTTTTATTTGCGACATAATGTTCATTACTTTTTGTGAAATGTTCTCTGAATTTTGTCTTTAAATTACGGTGGGTATATATAAATAATGTTCATTACATAATATTATCATGTTCTTTATTAATATTACAAATGTTCTTTAGATTAAAAAAAAAAAAAAAAAAAAAAAAAAAAAAAAAAAAAAAAAAAAACTTTAGACTGGATGTTCTTTACAAAACACCTACATGTTCTTTCCGCGTTTTTTGTTTGTACCAAATATGGTACAACCGCCTGTACCTTAAAATTTTCACAATCGTGCCAATGCCAAAAACAGGTGTTATTTGATTTTCTAAGCATTTTTTGTGAAATAAGACTTCTTGGCATTGCAACGTTTCACATCAAATCACACAACCAATTATATCTTGTGGCATCCCAAAATAATAACTCACCTTTTTTTTTTTTTTTTTTTACAAAGAGTACTAATAAAAAAAATACATAAAACAAAGACAACCAACTACACTACGCATGCAAAAACACCAAAGAGACACTTTTGAGGAAACTTTATTCGAGACAAGTTGGAGTACTTGAAGTCCACACTAGACTTGCGATCACGCTTTGCACCCACACGAACCACCTAGCAACCTGCAACTGAACTAGGTCAATCCACCAAAGAACTCAGTTTTCTAAACCGAGAAAAAATTGCTTCAAGTTAAAATTGAAATAACTCACCTTTGATATTGTAGCTAGTTAAATTTTCTTAGTTCGTCCCAAAATCAATAGTTTTGGTATGTGAAACACGCATTTAATTAAAAGATGTTGATTTACACAAAATTACCACTTGATTAATAATTTTTTTTTAACTGTGTGATAAACACAAATATTTTCCTGCTTTTCATGCCTACATATAGACAGTAAACTCTGCAAATTAGTTAAATTTTTTTATTTAAAGAAAATATTAGTAGGAAATGTCACTCATATATATAACAAACGTTACGAACTTGAGATTAAAAGTCTTATCTATGCTTAGTATTTAAAAACACAAACCACAAATTATTCATATGTCACATGTCACCACAAATCACTCATATGCCACATGTCAGTTCTTTTAATTTTTCCTTTTTATATTCCCTTTTTAATATAAAAATTTTAAATAAAGTCTTTACGCATTCCGTAACTTGCAAATTTGAGTAAGAAAATGAAGCATTTTGTTTCCACCATAATTACATAAAGTTGAACTAATTAGGAGTACACATTAATAAACATATGAAGTACAATAAAAATAATCTTTTTATCTCCTAAATTTAAAATACAACTTAAACCAATATGTCATTTCATATCCCACAATATTCATGTATATATACCTAACTAAATTCCTTCATCTTTTTCCACAATTTCACCCTCACTCTCTCTTTCTTTTAAGTTTTAGCAGTGAATTTCATTCACCTCAATGGTCATGAAACAATTACTTCGTACAGTATTTTATATCAAAAGTTTCAACTATTAGAAAACATACATACATATAAAAATAACCTAAGTAACAACCCATGCATCGAATGGACCAAAAGGCTAGTTTATTTAATACGTGAACATAAAAAATTGTCCAACGTCATTATTACATTATTTGAGTTTGTCATAGATCACAATATACATCAAATTAGTGGATAAAAAACTTACTAATCCATCCATATTACACATCGAAGACATTTTCCTTCCATAAGCAATTCAAATGCTTTATTGATCTCATCCAATTTCATCTCATGTGACACAAAGTCATCAAGTCGAATTTCCTGCAAGAAAGTAGGGCAAATTAGAATATGAATACTACATCCGTTATTCTTTAATTGTAACAAATGAGTATTATTTGTGAGAGATAAAAAATTTCTTTGATGTAAGTAAAAATTAATAGAGGCAGCAGTCTCATTAAAAAGAGACCAACCCTTCCCCATAATTTAATGACCCATTTTAACAACATATTTCATGATAAGCCTCAAATTGCCAACAGAGAAACCCCAAAAAGCTTTAAAAAAGGCTCAAGATATGGGGAAGGGCTGGTCTCTTTTTAATGAACTCTAGGCAATAACTCTCAACTCTCATTCTGGTTTGATTCCTAGTGTTACCTAGGCCTTCTCAGGCTACTTTCTTGGCCCTCTCTCCCTTGCAGATGAAAGACTCTGCGTGGGACAAGAGGCTAAGCATGGGAAGTGGGATTTCTCTGTCCTATCTAAACAACTTCCTTACTCCATTACTAGAGTACTCGGTGCTATTAAAATCTTCCATACTTGCTAATACCAGTGGTGAATCCTTTCAAGCCTATGCTCTATATAGAAAGATTTGGGTATCCCAAAATCCCTCCGATATCCCAAATCCCACCTAAGATCAAAACCTTCCTTTGACTTGTTTGCCACAATGCCATCCCTACTAGGGAAGCCATCTTTAGAAGAGGTATTCCCTCCCCTCCATCTTGTCCTTTCTATTAGACAATGAGTGAATCCCCATGCCATGTTCTTCGACTCTGTCTAGGATCCTAATCTCTCAATTTAAGAGTGGATTTCACTAAATCTCTCCTTCCCTCCTATCCCTAATCAAACCCCATGACCTGTGGTGTTTGCCTTTGCTTGTTAGATAATCTGGAAAAGAAGAAACTCATGGATTTTCAGTCAAAAGAATACAACTCTGCCTGATGCTATCAAATCAATTCCATTTTGCCCAAACTGTTTCCATTCCTAGTGACCTACTAACTAAGCTTTCCCATCCTTTCTATAATACTTAGTTCAAGATGCAGCTTTCAACCCAAGTTCACTAACTGTGGGAATAGCTGCCATCTGCTACACTTTTGTCATGAAATCAACAATGGAAGATGCAAATTCCGCAGAATACTTAGTTGTCTTGGTAACAATGGCTTGAAACAGTGAGAAGATGTCGCCATAATCACTGATGTAGGACCATTGTGAATGGCATTACTGGCACTCAAAAAATTAAAGACAAATTATTTTAACTTGTCTAATGCTTGCTGGGACTTGATATACATCAAGAAGTAGGTGAACAGTTTTCAGTGTCTCCCAAGAGAGGCAGTCAAGCAACCCCATCTCATGACACACCAAGCTGGTACCCGGAGAAAGTGATGTGTTATGGAATCTAGCAGCAAATCCCTTCAGTGATTGTAATAGTACTAGTATGAGTAGGCTTGCAGACTTAATATTTGAACCTTATGTGTTAACTTGTAACTCTAATGGGCTCCTTATGCCGTATAACACTTCCTGTATTATGACTTCTAACCTCTTACATGAGACCTAAGCTAAATAATCTATTTAAACCTCTTTAATAAAAAAAGAAAAACCATCTGAGCTATCCCTCCCTATCTGTACATAAAATATGTTAGCGCTAAGATTATATAAGGTAAGACAAATATTTTATAAAGTGATCGAAACACATCTTTCTTCGGTGATACAGAGCACCAAAGATTACATATATCATTATTACCTTTATTATAATTTCACGAAAGTATGAAGCAAATACCAAATGGTGAAATGCAAATACCAACAATTATTTAATTGGAGTACTAACGACTTACCTTGTCCAAATAACGTTTTACAAGGATAGGAACATCAGATTTTGCCTTAAGATCTCCATATACCGACCCTTTTATAGTTTTACCGCTAAGCAGCACATCCAAAGAAAGGAAGCTCAATTGTGCATCTAGCTTGTCCAATCCTAGCACAATCGTTTTTCCCCAACCCTGAAACATATAATCGATAAGCAATACGATTTATATATATACAACGTGTGTGTATTTTCAAACATCTCTTCTTCGATTCCTCGATATCACAATGCAAAACTCACATTTTGAGTGTATATAGAATGATTCGTGCCATAGCTAATCTATGTACAATAATATGCACATGTATACAGTATATACTAAGTTGAACTTGTTATGTTAAGGGTAAGAAAGAAGGAAATGGAAGAGGAAAAACCTTTCGGCATGAAGCATAAGCTTCTTGTACCAAAGTTGCCTTTCCTACACATTCGAAACAATAATCTGCACCTCCATCTGTCATCTCGCATATAATCTGCTCAACAAATGAAAGCCAACCAATGAGGCGGCGAAATGCCAAGAACTACTTGTATATTGCATTCCCAAAGTTGGCTGTGTTAGACAAGGGAAAGAACCAAGACCTGGCTGATAGTCTTATTATCCTCACAATTGTTCGGGTTGATAAAGTCTGTAACTCCAAACTTTTTACCTGAAGTAACATATAAAAAGATTATCTAAATCATTACAAGTACAAAATCTATGTGATGGGATGGAAAACAAAGTAGACTTGATCGAGATTAAATTATACTGAATTATACCAAATTCGAATTTTTCTGGGTTTATATCTACTGCTATTACCCTCGCTGCTCCACAAAGCCTTGCTCCCTCAGCCACCTTGACGCCCAAAAACAGCATACATGTGCCATTAGTGTTCATTATCAGTAACACAAATGCAACAAATTAAAGTTCACAAATTAACCAAAGTTGCTACACAAAAGCACACAAATCTTGCATAACATGAAGCAATGATGTACCCCTAGTCCAATAGCTCCAATGCCGAATATAGCAACTGTTGATCCTGGTTTGACATTGGCAGCTCGCCAAGCAGCACCGATCCCTAGAACGAACGACATTAATCAAGCTAAACTAGTTTAGAATGGTCTGAATTTTAAAATGTATTTGTAACATGTATAATATCATGCTTCAATTCACATGATATTAGTCTTTTCTTCATAAGAATATATGAGGCAAAGAATACGGCATAAGAATAGAGATATTACCAGTGGAAACCCCACAGCTTAGAAGACATGCCCTATTGGGAGGAATGGATGGGTCAATCTTAGTGAGATGAGCAATGTCGACAACAGTGTATTGGCTAAAGCTTGAAACGAACACGAAATGAAACAGAGTTTCCCCCTTCAAATCAGTGAATCTGCTGCTATCTTCCCTAGGCATCCACGGAGAGACCTTAAATGGCAGCTTCGAACACAAATTGCTCTCGCTAGACCTGCAATCTTTGCAATCCCCGCAATCTGCTATGAGAACTGGTAGCACATAATCGCCTTCCACCACTTCATCTACTTCCTCTCCTACACTTTCCACAATCCTATAGACGAATAGTTAATTAGTCCTTGTTGCTACATAAACAAATTTTTACCATGACAAATGACAATGTTGCGCCTCCAATTTCTCAGTGTTTTGATCTGTTTCAATATTTCTTACTCCATTCGTTATTCCTGCATCCATTCTTTTACTTTACTTTCTTATAACATACTACGTAATTTGTACATAACAATTAACTACCAAAATGTATGCTGAAAAGATCAAAATAAATCATTTCGTTTTATACTAGTCCAATCGATGTTTAGTGCTGGACTTAAACCCTGGCTCCCCACACGGCCACACGCACACACACTACTATCAATTCTATCTCAAATATTACTCCGTCTCTGTCATTTACGACGCCAGTATGTGTCAAGGCTCAAGTGTAACAATTATTAGCCAAAGATGATGAGTAGCATCAAAAAAAGATTATCCAATGACATATAATTGAGAATTGATCCAAAAATTAATAAGTTTAATAACCATAAACACAAAAAATAGTAGTAGAAAAAAAAATACTAAAAAGTTATTGCTATAAGTATTTACCCAACAGCCTCATGGCCTAAGATTCTTGGATAGCATCCAGGAAAATCCTGTAAAAGAAAACACAATAAAATCATCTTAGATAAGTACATATTAAAAATGTTTTTCATGTTGCAGGCACGTTTAATCTAAAGCATATTGAATAAATTTTGCAATTTCAATCAAAAATGAAACTTGCAACTAATTTGCTGGGATATTCATATTACCCTCTGAAGTCTGAAGTATACATACTTTTAATTTCCAGAAGGTGACGTCGGTATGACATAGTGAGGCACAAATGATCTTGATCCGAACTTCATGAGCTTTTGGTGGAGCCACTATCACCTCCTCTATCACCAGTGGTTGTCCTGCTTCTCTAGCGATAGCAGCTGTATCATTTCAATTGTTTAGACACTGGCCCATAAGATGCACGCACTTTATAATTTAATTTATTGTATATGCGAACTAAATTCAAATATAGCTGACACTTGAGAGAGTAGACCGAAAAGGTTAAGAGATTCTTGACTTAAGTACCCTTACTTAGCAAGATTCAAACTTTAAAGGTCAAAATAATGAAGGGAGTATTAGACTAAATTACCTTTGCAACGAAGAGGCTTTCCTGCGGTGTTGCCATTCACATCTGCCATATGCTTCTCTCTTGCAATGTTATGAGTAATCAACTAATAATTCATTACAATGAGAAGACGGGATAAGGAAGGAGTATATATAATACCAAAGAAATTTTGGTTCTACTTTGACTTTCAATAAGAAAAATCTAAAGTGGAAATAGTTGGTTCTATACTTTTGGATAAGAAAATTCCAAAGTTTTATGTCACATGCTCAATATAGTCAATAATTAGGTTAGTTTCCGTGTCATGTATAATAATTTTCGGTAACCATAATTAACCTATCATTATAATTTTTATTATCATTAAAAAAAAAAAAATTGTTAAAATAAAGGATTATGAAAAAATAGGTTCTATATAAAATAATGTAAAAAATGATCAAAAGTATGTTAAGAAATTTTTTTATATCTATATAAATAATCAAATAGACATACTAATATGAAGACATGAAAGAAGTCCAAGGACATACAATAATTTTAGTCTAGTCTAGTTTACCTATACGCACAAATAGCCAAAATACTATGAAGACATGCAAGAAGTCCAAGGACATACAGTAATTTTTAGTCTTGTCTTGTTGATTGCCAAACAAAACACCCCCTCCCCCCTAAATTTAAAAAAAATAAAATAAAAATTGAATCATATCTTTATAAACGATTTTTTCAAAATACTTTCCAAAACACCCTCCTCTCCCCCTATATGTATAATGTATCGGTGTTGTTTCTATGTAGCTAACCACACCGTGTAGCCGGGGTTACTTATTTATGAGTTACTTATTTTGGAGTTACTTATTTAGGGGTTACTCATGTTAGGTTTTCTAGTATAAATCAAATACAAGCAAATGTGGGAACAAAACCTAAAACAGTGTATAATTACAATAAAATTATACAATCAAATCAATACAACCATGTGTATTCAAACCAAGCACTATTAATTCAAAGAATTACAGAAATTACAATGAAATTAACTATTATGAAATATTATAAACTTGCCTTACTTCCAAGCCTTTCAAATGAACATGAATATGAGAATTCCAATGACCACGTAAGTCTCAAATCTTGATACTTTGTCTTAGGCGTGTGAAACACTTTCCTAAAGAGATTAATTTCCCCCACAACGGTGCTTAGGTTTTTACCGGAAATTCTCTTTGAGATACAAAAGACAACACTACGATCTTTGCACTAAGAATCGTAATTAGATGATTAAACTCTCAAAAATAAACTTAATTGATAGAGATTTCAAGGAAGAGATTGCAAGTTTCTTCAAAGAAAAAGTGTAGAGAAGAGAGAAACCAGCGAGGAGAGGAAAAACTGTATATCCTCTTTCTTCTTTTTAATTTCACAATAAAAAGAACGACAAAACCGCAAAACTAAAGGGTCGCAAGCGCGGCTGTCCAGGCCGCGGGCATGGACGGGACGAATTGGATTTCATCCTTTGAAATCTGGAGAAGGATGGCCGCGCCCTTGGAGAGGGATCTCCCCAATCAACCGCGGGCGCGGCACCCCTTGGAGAGGGATCTCCCCAGTCAACCGCGGGCGCGGCACCCCTTGGAGAGGGTTCTCCCCCAGACATACACCCTAAATTACTAACAATCCTCCCCCATTTAGAGTGTATACTTTTAAAACTTTCTTCCCTTCTATCAATTAAGCCACATCTCATGCATCAATGCCAATGTCTCTACGGATTGAATTAACACCTAGTACAACACACTTAACGATGATCATATCCCATGATTTCTCTATGGATTGAATCACACGGATATCTCCGACCATTCGAAGGTGAAATACACACAAGACAAATCGAATTTAACATCACCTTTCACTTTTATACAGCCATGTGTCCGTATCTTTCATAAGTTCATCAAAGTCAATATGTCCATCTAGAATTCTTGAAGCGGCTAAACTTCAAACTTACATAGGTAGGTTCTCACATACGTAATAGTGCCCTTGTGATAAGACATCTTCATCTAGAGCTTCTCAACTCTAAATCTGGAGAACTTTAAATAAACGCTACCTAATAACTTCACAAGTATCATAGCAATATGGGTCACAAAACATTGCTAACAAACATCAAAAATGCAATTCAACCACATTGAATCTAAGACTTGATGTTTATTTGAGCGTTAGATTGGGTTTCACAAATTCGTGTTTCTTGGACATAAATCCATTCCATTCAAAGCAAAGATGATAGAATGCCTTGGCATTGCTTTAGTAAAGCAATCTGCTAAATTCAATTTTGTAGGAACATAGTCAAGACTTATAACCCCATTAGTGATAAGCTCTTTCACTAGGCTATGCCTAAGAGAAATATGCCGAGACTTACCATTATACACTTGACTATATTCCTTTATCAATGCCGAATTCGAATCACAATGAATAGCCACCGGTGACATAGGCTTTGGCAATAAAGGCAATTCTAACATGAGATTTCTCAACCATTCAGCTTCCTTACTAGCTGAAGCTAGAGATATAAACTCCGCTGCCATAGTGGAATCGGCAATGTAATTTTGTTCTTGGAAGATTATGAATGACACCTCCCCCAAACATAAACACCCAACCACTGACTGAAGAGTCATCCTCTTTGTAAGTGATCCAACTTGCATCAGAATACCCTTCTAAAACCGAAGGAAATCCACTATAAGTCAAACCATAATCCAATGTACCTTTAAGGTACCTCAAGACCCTCCGAATTGCAAACCAATGTTGTACACCCGGGTTACTAGTAAATCTACTAAGTTTTCCTATAGCCAATGCAATATCCGGTCTTGTACTTGTCATAGCATACATCAAGGATCCAATTATCCTTGAAAATTCCAATTGGGAAACCGTTTTCCCCGAATTCTTAACCAATTTAACATTAGGTTCCATGGGGGTATTTACAGGACTCTTATCAAACATATTATACCGTTTGATCATCTTCTCAATATAATGAGATTAACTCAAAATAAGTCTTCCGTTGTCCCTAATAATCTTGACGCCCAAAATGACATCCGCCTCCCCCAAATTCTTCATCTGGAAAGATGAGGATAAGAATTCCTTGGTCATTTCTACTTGTAGACTTGTACCAAATATAAGCATATCATCAACATATAGACAAATGATAACACCATGACCTTTGTTATCAAATTTGCTATATACAAACTTATCAGCTTGATTCACTTTGAATCCAAAGGACAATATCGTGTCATCAAATTTCCGATGCCACTGCTTTGGTGCTTGTTTAAGTCCATACAAAGACTTAACCAATTTACACACCTTATTCTCTTGTCCTTCCAAAACAAACCCTTCGGGATGTTTCATATACACTTCTTCCTCTAGTTCACCATACAAAAATGTCATTTGACATCCATTTGATGAATCACTAGATTATAAACCGAAGCCATTGCAATCAATTACCTTATGGAGGTAATTCTTGCAACCGGTGCATAGGTATCGAAATCATCAACATCATGCTTTTGCCTAAAGCCTTGGATAACCAATCTGGCTTTAAATTTCACTATAGAGCCATCCGGTCTCCTTTTCCTAGCGAAAATCCACTTGCAACCGGGAGGTAAATCATCTAAGACCCAAGTATTATTTCCCATGATGGAATCCATCTCATCATTTATAGCCTCCTTCCAAAATGCACCATCTTGAGAAGATATTGCTTCGCTATAACTCTTTGGGTCACTATCCACATTAAACCAATATGGAGTAGTAGAACTAAGGACATCCCTAGAACCTTCAACTAAATAAATTATAAAGTCATTACCAAAGTTCTTAGGTCTCCTTTCCCTAGTACTTCTCCTAACTTGAGAAGTCTCATCATTCTCATTATCGAATGAATCTTCATGAGTTTCGAGTTGATCATTCAACTCTACTATCTCCCTATCATTGGCACTTATTTGTAGATCTTTTGGTCTACTCATTGATGAAAATCGGTTTTCATCAAAAATTGCATCTCTTGACTCAATAATCAAATGTATCGATATGTAGTCATTTTGTTTTATTACATAGAACCTATAGGTTTTACTATGCTCAGCATATCCTATATAAATGCATTCCAAGCCCTTTCACCGAGCTTTCTCTTTTTGTTACCGGGCACTCTAACAATTGCCCTACAACCCCAAACTTTCAAGTATTTCAAGTTTGGTTTTCATTTGTACCAAAGTTCATAAGGAGTAGATTGTTTTCCCTTAGTGGGAACTCAGTTTAGAATGTGACAAGCTGTCAACATTGCTTCACCCCAAAACCCTTCACTCAAACCGAAGTAAGATAACATGGAATTAACCATTTCTTGAAGAGTTTTATTTTTCCTTTCAGCTACACCATTTGATTGTGGTGCATAATCCGCTGTAGTCTCATGAATTATACCCAAAGATTGAAAATAAGTTGGATCATAATACTCTCCTCCCTTTTAATTAATGACTCTAATCGGTTCTTATTCTCTTAATTAATGACTCTACTTGCACTTATACTTCCCTTTTATAAATATCAAACTTTACCAAAGCTTCATCTTTGGAATATAAAAGATACACATAACAAAACCTTGAAAAATCATCAATAAAAGTAATCAGGTATCTTTTATTTCCCAAAGAAGGAGTACTATAAAAGTCACACAAGTCAATATGAATCAATTCTAAAATATTCGAACTTCTTTCAACCCTTTTAAAAGGAGTTCTAGTGATCTTGTTTACCATGCAAGTAGAACATTTATTAAGAGTAATATCACATGGTGGAATTAAATCTAGTTTAGACATGAAATTCAACTCATTGAAATTAACATGTCCTAACCTTGAATGCCACAAATAAAATAAATCCACACCAATATCATTACCAACATTCAAACACACATCATTATCCAATACAAATTTCTCTCTTAAAGAGAGTTTAAACAAACCATTACTCAAGTAACAACTGATTAGGGGATTTTGCTCCCACCAATCGGAATGCGCCACGTGGGCCAATCAGGTCATGCCAAGTGTCCTCCAGTTGAAACTGTCAGGGTTTGCCACGTGGCACACGCCTATTTGTCCACCCTGGACCTATTATGTCACGACACGTGGCATCCTCCATGCCTAATGGAAAAACCGGCCACCTAGGCCCAACTTCCAAG